AGGGAACAGAGGCAGAATTGGAAGTGGATTAGCTGTGCCGACAGAGTTCAGTTTTATAAAAGTGCAATCAAAGACAGGAAAATTTGTTCTTCAAATTAAAAATGAATATATATGATTTTAAAAGATATTTAAAAATAATAGGGCAACCTGCACACTGACGCTGCAAGCCTATTGCTGGTTAGTGGGAAATACAGTTTCTAATTAGAACCAAAGTACAAACTTCTCTTAGTGTGATTAGCAGGTGCAGATTCTGCAGTGCACCAATTATATGTCTGTATCTTTTCTATAGAGGATGTTTCAGAAAGGAAGCTGATGGACTCTATCTACTCTATCTTAATTCTTTAGCAAATTTCCTCCTCTTTTATTGTTTGGCTTTGTAATTTAATTCTTTAATTCTGTTACATTGGGTTTTACAAGAAAAATTCTAGATGGGGGTCAGGTAGGTTGAGGAGAAGTGCTTAGTGGAATGTAAAGAAATCAAATAAATGTATATAAAATGGATAAAGGCAGGCATATACCTACATAATCACACAGTGGTTCTGTAGGTATATATTTGGTAAATTTGTGGCTGGAAGAGATTTGACAATGTTTCCAAACTATTTTTGAAAAAAGCCAATGAAATTGAAGATTCTCAGCACACAAGAGGGATGTGGGGCCTGGCTGATGAACAGAGCATCCAGGAGACAAAGGAAGAATGTGAGGACAAGGGAGAGGCTTTCAGTCAGAGGAGTTGGAGGAGCCGTGTGTTTCCCGAGTGTGAGGAGAGCCGTTAAGGGCTTCACATACACTAATAACCTCAATTTTGTCTTCTCTGAAGAGGAATTGGGGCCATATGACAACAGAGAAGCGCACTGTGTGCAGATGCTCTGAAGAACAGACTTGTGTGATTGGGAACAAGTGTCAGTTAGTGACAAATGATAGAGCTGTCCTACAGTGAGAATCATGTATCTGCTTGTGGTATGGAATCAACAGCCTCGGGGATCTGAAATTCCTGAACTGTTGAGCTATTCTGCTCCCCTGCTTTCATCTGAGAGAATAAGCCCTCATTTGGAAAGGGAAATTAAGAAATTCAGAGTTCATAGTGATCCTAAGGAGAACCAAGAGTGACCTGAGGACCATCAGGAGGGGTGGGGCAGAGCATAGCCCAGGGGACAGATTTCTCTTATTAGAATTAGATAGCCAAGAGGTGGGGGAAATTTCAATTGACAGCCACAGCGCCGGAGATACTCCTGACACAATTAGAGCTATCAGTTCTAAGGAAGAGTAAAGAATTTCACAGCTGGATTTTTTTTTTTTTTTAAGGAATGAAATACTAATGCAAACAGCTCAAATGAAGCCATCCCTGGAATTAGAAAGTAAAACTATGTGGTTAGGATTCACGAAGGCCATGAGTAGAACTCAGGTGGGAGGAATACAACTCCAAATTCCCTAGGCCGTATCATGCGCCTTTAGGCAGGAAACAGTAGCCAGCTGTGTACAGAACTGAGCAAGGAAGGCATTCACTTCAGCCGCTCCTCCTCCTTTGTGCCCCCAACTACTTACTTAACTTCATTCTATTCCTTGGAGCCAGTACAGCATCTTCTATTGGCTTCACGATGACTTCAAAATGTTCTTGTTTGGCCATAATTATTAATGCTTTTTTTAAAAATTCAAAATGCAATTGGAGATTCTGCCGTGCTCCTCTGTGTCTCATCTCCTTTTGTAGAAACAACTCTGAAGCCAAAACAAAAGAGCAGAATTTATAGGACTCATGAAATGTCCATTTGCTCACAATTCTTATTTAGCAAGATGGTTAGTAATTCAGGTCCGATCCCGTTACAATAAAACTGTATAGCAGAGAACAGTTATCTTTAAGTTATTATTAAAAATGTTGTAAACTTAAATAATGTAATTGAGTCATATATTATACCCAGGCAACACTTGGTCTGTTTTGCCCTGTCAGGAATCAGCCCCATTATAAAGGGTTGCTAACACTCATTGGAAATGAATGTCCACGGCAAGGTGGAAAGCAAGGTGTGATAGTATTCAGCACGGATGACAGAATCTGTCAAGCTATGAATACAGAGGAGACCCCTGACAGTGTTTCAACCATGGAAAGATAGGCAGTACACTTTAGGGCCATCAGTTTACCCTACGATGGGCAACCCTTTCCTGAGCATCTGTAATGCCCTAAGCATCACACTCTGTGCCCCATTTAACAGAAACAAATGTGGAAGTCCAGTCTATTGCAATGCATCATTGACGGGTAACTGTAAGACAGTGTGAAACAGCCACATAGACAGGTAGCATCATGGTGGACTTTGGGTGTAAATATAGCTGTCAGTATATATCATTTCTACCCTTTTCTGGAAGTCCTGTAAGAACATGGCACACAGAGGACAAATATGGAAACTCCATGAAGCTAGGAGATTCTTCCAGTTATTTCTTGGGGTAGCTTGGAAGAGACAAGATAAAACAGGAGCTTCAATGGAAGAAAGGAAAAGCAGGTGCCTAGACCCCAACAAGATCAGATCAGAAAGATCAGCAGATATGCACCTGCAGAGAAGAGTGAATGTGGAGATGGAAAAACAATGATAACCATTTTTTTTCCAATGGTGGGAGGGTGTCTGTGACCCTGCTGGACACATGCCAGTTCATGGGAATAGGATACATGGGATGTGACTCTTCTGGACACACACCAGTTTGTGGGAATACGATTCATGGAATGTGACCCTGCTGGACACACGCCAGTTTGTGGGAATACGATACATGGGATGCTTGTGAAAAAACTTAAGAAGTTAGGAGTGACAGAGCAGTGGTTTTTGTAGGTATGAAAGAAGAGGCTATGCTTGTGAAGAACTTGCTGGAATCTCACCTTCTACTCTACTTTTCCTTTGGAGACACTAGGACCAAGAAAACCTAACTCATAACTATGTGGTTTTTTGCTTTCAAATGGTGATTTTATTTCCTTCTTGATTGTTTCTTACATCCTCCCAACTTTCTTTTTTTATTATTTTTTTTATTATTGAGCTATATATTTTTCCCCATTCCCTTCCTTCCTACCTCTCCCCTTCTACCCTCTCCCATTATCCCCATGTTCCCAATTTACTCAGGAGATCTTGTCTTTTTCTATTTCCCATGTAGATTAGAGAACAAACCAGTGTAGCTCTTTTTACTTTGTAGCTTTAAAACAAGAACACATTAAAAAGCACAAATCTATTTATCCACATTGTTATGTGAGCTGAAAAGCAGCAAATGATTCTTCCCTAGAGACCGGGATTTAGCAGTTGGGATGGGTGCTTTTGGCATTGAGACTTGAAGGATGAGTGGGATTTAGCAGAAAGACAATACTGAACAGGACCATCCAGGCCAAAGATGTGGCTTGTCTAATGGTGCAGCAATAAGAAAGGGGGTCATGTAAACAGGGAGGAACATTGAGTCACAAAGCAAGAGACAGATGGGAAGTGATCAAGATTGGGGTAGACATTAGGAAACAAATCATAAACCACGTGAGTGTGTTGAGTTCGCACTTACTCAGTCTGAATTGACAGGCCCTATGCCTGGTCAGGAACCTGAGGCTCAGCAATGGTACCACCTTCTAGGCTAGTGCTTCTCCATTCTGTATGCATATCAGAACCACTTGAAGAACATTAAAATGGTGCTGCTAGTCCCCACCCTTGATAGTTAAGGCAGAATTCCATGTGTAAGGATGTGATTTTATTTCCAGATTATAATAACATGGGGATTATAATAGCATGCATGCAAATTTGATTGTCATGCTTTTCCTCATTCTCACTTCTCAATTTTACTTATATTTTAATTTAGTTCTGTTTAGTGTGTGTATGTATGTGTATGTCATAGCATGTTTTGGACATGTAGAGGACATCTCTGTGGAGTCATAGGTTCTAGGATCTAACCTAGGCCATCAGATTTCCTTGGTAAGCACCTTTATACACCAAGCCGTTTCACCAGTATTTTATATTTTATTTTTAATTACATTTATTTCTTATTTTATTTAGTTGGAGGAAGAATGCCTTAGTGTGAGAATGATTGGCTCTCATCTTTTACTACATGGGTACTGGAGAACTCAGGTCACAGGTTTTGGTGACTTATACCTTCCACCCACTGAGTCACCTCACCTCCTTTAGTGAAAAGGGCCTCTAAAGCAGGTGGTGACTTTGACCTAATGAGTTTTGAATTTGCAAAGATTCAAGTGGAGAAATTCACATAGCTTGTTCACTGGTGTGGAGTAGAGAAGGTTTATGAGCTAGCAATGTTTAGAACCTCTAACCTGTGCGTCTGTACTAATGATCCACCAATTAAGAGAGATCCCAGGAGGAAGTTCTGTGAACAGAACAGATTCAGATTTGGAAAGGTGGCCTTGAAGGTACTTGACAAGAGCCATCGGAATCCCAGAACAGTGAGTTCCAGGTCAGGCAGTGAGACCTACATAGTGGGACCCCATCTCAGAATAAAATAGCAGCAACAAAAACAGTAGCTAAAAGCAATGGCAAAAGCGGTAGTGTCAAAGGTGCTTCCTTCTCCAGAAGATCACTGGCTCCCCTTCTGCATAGCCTGCCTGGGGATATGGGAAGCTGCTGGGTGCTGGGCATAAGATAACATCTCAGGGGTGAGAGGCATAGTAAAAGGCACTTCATTCTCCCCAGTTCATGAAATCTCAGCCCAGTGCTCCCAGCAAGAAGGAAGCATGTCCTTGAGCTCTGCAAACAGAGAACTGAATCTTCAGAGAGGAGAGACAGGAGATTATGGGATGCAGAGGCTGGACACAGACAGAAGTTGCTCATAAGACATTAGTTTGCAGTGCTTACTAAAGCATTGGATGCTTTTCCACCTCCCAGATACCATCGTAAGAGCAACTTTGCAGCAGAACTGAAGGTTATGAGTAAGCAGTGTGTTCTAGATACTTTCTTAGGAAAGAAGGAATACTGAATTTCTGTAATAGGCCGACTGAAGGATTTTTTTTAGTCATTAAATTTGCTTTAATTATTTTCTTCCCACAGACGCCTCAGCTTATCGCAATGAATAGAATCCCTGAGTTCAAGTCCTCCTGCCTTTCTACAGCACCCAAGGTGAGTAGTTAAAATAGGAGCCAGGAGCCAGAGAGATGGCTCAATGGTTAAGAGCACTGGCTGCTCTTACAAATCCAACTTCAATTTCAAGCATCCACAGAGTGGATCATAGCCATCTGTGTCCCCAGTTTCAGGGGATCTGACACCATCTCTTGGCCTCTGTAGGCACTGCATGCGTGTAGTGCACAAAAAGCAGATGAGGCATTACAGACACATAAAATAAAAACAAAATTTTTGAAAATCTCAAAAATTTTTTAAGTAAGCACTTAAAGTGATATCCAGCCATTTGTGTTAGATTTCTCATGCAAGATTCATCAGTCACAGAATGAAGCACAATTAGGAGTTAGGTAACACTATTTTCTCACTAGACTGATACATATATATTAGCAAAAACTTAGGAAATAAAACATAAATAATATTTAAATCTTCCATTATCTTACTGATTGGATATGATGACAATTCCAATTCTTAAAAATATTTTTCCCCATAGTTTCTATGAGAAAGACAATGGTTTAGTCTGTGGAGATATAGTTACCTAAAAATAGTTTAATTCTGATTCTAATTCTTGAGTATGTGTGTGTGTGTGAACATGGATGGGTGCACATGTATGTTTAGGCATGCTTTTATGAGTGTGTACATGCTGATAGAGACCAGGGGACAGCTATCAATGTTGTCTCTCAAAAGAAGGGTTGCACTGGTCTCCACTCCCTAAAACTGGGGTTATTAATATGTCACTGTACCCAACTTTTTAAAATGGGTTCAAGTCCTTGTGTTTGCATGACAAACATTTTCTTGTTTTTTTTAAAGCTTTCTAACTATCCTATAATGTTTTATTTCTCAATTTTCCACTATATAAGGTTTACAATTTAAGGTCCCACATAATAACTCACACCTGTAATGTCAACATTAGGATGGCAGAGGCAAGAGGAGCACTTTAAGTTCAGGAGTGTTGTTAGAGTGCCGCTTGTTCATCCCGACCGCCCAGAACCGAAATAATCACACAGAAACTATATTAATTAAATTACTGCTTGGCCCATTAGCTCTAGCTTCTTATTAGCAAACTCTTACACCTTAATTTAACCCATTTCTATTAATCTCTGTATCGCCATGAGGCTGTGGCTTACTGGCTAAAGTTCTGGCATCTGTCTCCAGCAGGGCTACACGGCTTCTCTCTTACTGTACCTTGATGGAGGAGGCTTAATTGTCTGTGTTACTTTTATTGGTTAATAAAGAGACTGCCTTGGCCTTTGATAGGACAGCAGCTTAGATAGGCAGAATAGACAGAACAGAATGCTGGGAAGAAGGGAAGTGAGGCAGACGCCATGGAGCCAGCCACTAGGTCAGACATGTTAAATCTTTTCTGGTAAGCCATCACCTCATGGTGCTATATAGATTATTAGAAATGGGTTAATGCAGGAAGCTCCCTCTGCCATTCCTGCCCAGATCACTGAAGAAGCAACATGTAAGCTGACAGCTGAAAAAGGTACCAAGCCATATGGCTAACACAGACAAGAATTATGGGTCACCATAAGATGTAAGAATTAGTTAAGAAGACTGAGCTAATGGGCCAATCAGTTTATAACCTAATGTAGACTCTGTGATTTCTTTGGGACTTGCCTGCTATGGGGTACCCGGGCGGGACAGAAACCCCAACAAGCTGGCCCCTTATGTTACAGTACCTCTTTTCTCCCTACATTCAGCTTAGTTTTCCCTGCCTAGCTCTGTTCCCCTATAGCTCTGCTATAGGCCTAAAGCAGTTTCCTTCTTTATCAATGGTAATCACAGCATAGAGGGAAATCCCATATCACAGGAGGATTGGCATAAGTTCGAAACTAGCCGACAAGAAGCCTGCCAGGCAGGTGTGTGTGAGGTTTTGTGCATGCCCCTCTTCATAGATTCACTACAACAACATAAAATGAAATGTAGAGGACTTTTGAATCATCTGGGCATCTTTAAAAAGCAATAGTTTTTTTAAAGAAACTATTAACTCCTCAGAACTCCTCAGCATATTAGACACACGAATATGTAAGAAACTCCACATTTAAATTATTCCTATTTTATATGTGTGTGCATGGATGTGTATGTGTGTCCGTGTGTGTCCATGTGTGTGTGTGTGTGTGTAGGTGCACATGCATGTACATGGGGTCAAAAGTCGACATCATGTGTCTTGAAGAACCACTCCTACATTATTATCTGAGACAGGGACTTTCACTACACTTGTGGTTTACTGACTTAGCTAACTGTCTGGTCAACAGGCCTAAGGATTCACCCATTTCTTTCTCCACAGAGGTTATATATGTGCAGCCCTGCATCAGGTTTTTTATATGGATGCCGGAGATCCAAACCCAGGCTTTCCCAATTACCTTCTGCCCTGCCCTTAACTGCTCATAGGTTTTAGTAGATATAGACGTGTATATTTTATATCTTGATATATCTTCACAGTTGCTTTAAATATTGAAACATTTGCTTTCAGTGTGTTCTTTTAGTTTGTGTTTTCATTATTTGCATTTTCTGTACTTTATATAGGAACCAAAAACCTTTGAACCCAGTAATAAGTTGGAATGCACATGAACTTATAGCCCTGCCCCTTCCTTTCATAGGAATGTACCTAACTCACTCTATAGCTAAACTGCAAAATCAGGCACAAGAGTGGTATGTTCTATTTGTATTAAATTTGGTTCTCTTGCATGGCAGCCCATCAGTCACCTGTGGGAAACATAGGAATGCTAGAACACCACCCGTATTCTTCCTACTCTTAGACCTCCTAGTTTTGTTTTTTTTTTAATCTAGAAAACAGACTAGACACTAGCTAGGAGGTGCACACGCTCTGTCTATTACTCCCAGCATGCATGTTTTTCACAGGTTGAAAAAGTAGTCAGCAGGAGCAGGGGTGCAGGATGGGAGATGTGGGGTTGGCCCGGGAACGAGAGCTTACCTCATTTTTCATGCATCAGAGAACAAGCGCAAGTGTATCAGGTCTCTGCCTTCAGCCCACCTCTGCAGCTCGTCCTGAGTCTGCTTTTGAGTGAACTATTACTGACATATACATTCGCGAAAGCAGCTATCCAAAACGTTTTTAATTTTTGGAGGAAGTATGATTGATAATCCTGAGCCCCGCAAGCTGTCGAAGAGCAGAGAATGAGCTTCTATGATGTCCTCAGTCCCCAGATGACATCTCTATTATCCTCTGCCCCACAAGGCTCAGAGCACATCACAGAGGAGGTGGTAGAAGGATTGTAAGTGTGAGAGATGAGGGAGATCCTCTGTGGATCTGTGTCTTCTGGACATGGCAGTGGCATCATATGCATGAACTCAAGGAGCTGTGGTTACATCCATGACCTGCCCAAGATCAAGTCAGTCAGCATTCTACCATGGATGAGGGAGGGGCACACACACCCTAGTCCCACTCTGAGGCACTAGTAGCAGCAGATGACTGGTAGTGGAAGGAGAGCCATTTTCCTTCAGAGGTATGGATATACAGCGTTAGTTGAACTCAAGGATTTGAGGAAATTGGAAAGAGAATATGTCTTAGTTACTTTCCTACGGGTGTGACAAAACACCATGACCAAGGCATCTTGGAGAAGAAAGCATTAAATTTAGGAGTTCACAGCTCCCATGGATAATACAGTCCATGACTTTCATCACAAGGTCATTGCAATAGTCAGATAGGCTTGGCTGTAATCATAGCTAGGAACTTATATCTGATTCACAATAAGGAGTGAAGGAGAGAGAGAGAGAGAGAGAGAGAGAGAGAGAGAGAGAGAGAGAGAG